TTGTGCTCTAGCTCCTAGGACCGTGCTGGGCACTGCTGTGCCTACCAATGGGTCATCCTGGGCCAGTCCCTGAGCTATCACCTTCCCTGAGACTCACATGTAGTAGATGCTCAGTAAATCGTGTGGAGATGAGTGAATGTGGAGCCTTACAACGGCACATGCTGGCACTGGCAGGCAGGGGAAGACCCTGTGTCAGGGGTGTGGAAGCCCAGCCTATTCTGGAAGGACCACCGAGAGCCCCCACCCATCTCTAGTCCCGAGACCCCTGCCATGGCGTCTGTGCTGCCCACCCCAGCCTGTTCTCTCACAGCACAGGGGACGAACACAGCCGCGGAAACTGGGGCCACTTGGACCAGGTGGCTGCGCTGCGCTGGGTCCGGGACAACATCGCCAACTTTGGAGGGAACCCAGGCTCTGTGACCATCTTCGGAGAGTCAGCAGGAGGCGAAAGTGTCTCTGTCCTTGTAAGTGTTCCTGGCACCAGGCCCCACCCCCAGGCTGATGTGGCTGCTGATGGGAACTCTTGGAGACCAGCCCACCCAGCCCCGGGCGCCTTTGCTTACACGGCCTGGATTGGGGACAGACCCTCCTCCTTGCCCAGCATCAGGCAGTGGAGAGCTAATGTACAAACTCTCCTTGGCCCCCAGGAAGCTCAGAGCTCAGCTTTATGTCCTGGGCCACTAGAATCTCTGGCCCCAGCCTACACTGGCCGCAGTCCTCCTCTGGCACCTTGGTTGAGCTCTCTCTCTTCTTCTTTCTCATTTTAACACCAGGACTCAGCTCATTCTTTGGGGAGGTGGGTGTGGGTATAAATTATGAACATATGCAGGCAAGGACAAGAGTTGGACAGAGGTCATCATTTGGCTTGAAGCCATAACTGTATGTCGAGGGGACACAAGCCCTGAGATCAGGCAGGAGCCTCAGCTGAGGTGGTCTGATGGCCCCCACGCCCAAGAGGGACGTGGCCATCTGTGGAGCTGAGGGTCCATGTGGGCTGGGCGAGGTGGGGGAGGAAGGAGGGATGGAGCACAGGACGGGGAGGGAGGGGACAGGGGATGTGGGGCACAGACACAGCCTGGGGGTGCGAGATGTCCTCCCAGCGTGAGGAATGGGGCTGGGGTGGTACTGAGGGCAGCTGGGATGGGAAACCCGGTTGGAAGGTGCTGGGAGCTGTGAGGAGCCTCTAGGGGCCTCGGAGTTGAGCCGAGGGTCAGCCCATTGCTGTGTTTTTCAATCATGTGTTGGTTTCCTACTTGAACACTCTGGGGAAAATGCTTTCGTATTTTTAAAGTAAAGAGAAAAGAAAAATACAGATCAGCCCAAAGAAGAAATAAACTATTCACAATCTTCCTCCCCAGGGTCCTCACTGTGGACATTTGACATATATTTTTTCTAGACTATTTTCCTGACAGTGTGTATCTATTTATCATATATCAACTATCTTTTTTTTATAAAACGACATTCCTAAATTAGCATAAGGCACGTTAATTACCATAAATGTTAGTATAACACACTATAACATTTCAGTATAACAAAATTATTTCCCTAAACATTAAGCACTCCCCCACAATATTATCTTTTATAATTGCATAACAGTCTTTATAATTGCATAACAGTTTTTTCAGTAACTGAAATAAATCATTGATTTACCCAATCTCATACTATGGGATCCTCGGGTTATTTCCAATTCCGTAACCAGCACGGGCACCCTCAGAAGTCTTTGTGTGCCTCCCTGGCCACTTTTCTTGTGAGTAACAGAAATGCTGAACCAGACCGTGCGCCCGGGCTTTGCCAGGCTGTCTTTCTGGTGCTTTTGACTGCTGTGATCTGTGCGGGCCACACTCTCCTGTTCCGTCCCCGGGTCTGTGGCTCTGTGCTCCGGCTCCATCCTGCTGAGGTTCTCTGGGGGAGGCAGGGCCCAGGGTGAGGTTTGGAAACAGGCCAGGCCAGGTGAGGAGCCCTCCTGTACTCTGAGCCCCAGGACAGAGCTGTGGGTGGACCCTGCCCTGAGCATGAACTCTCCTCCTGTCTTCTCCCCTCCCAGGTTTTATCTCCTCTGGCCAAGAACCTCTTCCACCGGGCCATTTCTGAGAGTGGTGTGGCCCTCACTTCTGCTCTGGTCCACAAGGGTGACATCAAGCCCCTGGCAGAGGTAGGTCTCTCACAGGACACTCCTGGCATCCTTGGGGATCTTTCTCACTATGAAACGCAGAGGACATTCTCAAAGAGATACTGAGGCTAGATGGGCTAAATGGAAAAGGCAAGGAGACCCCTTGCTCAACTTCCCAATTTTATAGCCAAGCAAACAGCAGAGTGTGGAAGTGACATGTCAAGGTTGACATAGGATCAAAGCAGAGCTGGCATGCAAAGCCGTGACAGTGAACTTCCAGTGTATGCCCTGCCCATGACCACAGGCCTGAGTGTGCCTCAGAGGTTATCGGGAAAGACTTCTTTTAAAAATGATGAATAAATCAGCATGACAGAGCTGAGCAATGATTTAATTGCCGAGCAATGAGTATTCCAGGGAAAGGATGCAGCACGTGCAAATGTCCTGTGGCTAAGAAGCATCTTGAGAGTGAGAGAAGGCTGGTGTGGCCAGAGCGCAGAGCACTGGGAGCTTGGGGTGTGCTGAGGGTGGGGACATTGGCAAGGGCCTCCCTGCACAGGACCCTGGGGAGGATTTTGTGTTTATCTGAAGAGAGCTGGGAAGAGAGGAAGGGGTGACCACAGGGTGGCGCTGCTGAGCAGGGCCTACTGGAACCAGAGGGGTGCAGGGTCTGGGTGGGGCTGTGGCAGCTGGTTTGGGGCAGCCCAGACTTCAGGGGCTGATTAGGAGGTGGGGAGGAAATGGAGACGCCAAGCATCTGTTTTAGAATTTTTGAGAGTTTTTTCAGAATCCATTGGGTATAAGTAACAGGTGGCACAGGCTTGAGTCAAGAAGGGGAATTTATTTTCAAGGAAGCCGAGGTGGCAGGGGTGAGGCTGGGCTTTGTGAACAAACAGGAGCTAGAAATTGCAAAGTGAGAGGAATCCAGGTCTCTCTGACTCTTGCTCTTCTCTCCCCCTCTCTCCCTCTTCTCCCCTTGTCCCTCCTCCTGTTGGTTTATTCACCAAGTGGGTTCTGAGCAGGGACTCTGCAGCAGACACTGTCCAGGCTCTGGGACCCTGCGCACTCCCCACGGCCCTGCCACCACGGAGCCCGTCTTGGGTCCATCTGTGCCTTCCTCTCTGGACGAGCTTTGCTGTCAGTTCCTGTGACCAGCCCACCTGGCCCTAGGCTTGGGGACTGCCCTGTGGTTCCAGAAAGTAGTCAGGTTTTCTTCTGTTTGAGAAATGCTCATTTCTACACTCGGACCCAGATCACTTAGGAGAGAGGCTCACAGCCCTGGCTTTGCTGAGATGCCCCCCTTGGGGCCTCTCAGAAAAACCGGGGTGAAGGTGTGTGGGAGCAGACCACCTGCGGTGTCCAAGAAACCCTCAAGGAAGCCTCTCCCTCCAGGAGGGTTTTCTTCTTACTTTTTTTTAAGACGAGAAGGGGTTCTAGGTTGGGGTCAGGCTTCTTCATGCATTAATCGGTACCTTTCGATGGCTTGCCCTAGGACAAGGGAGGACAAACATGGGCCAGGTTTGTATGGCCCTTGAGTTAAGAATGATTTTGTTTTCATTGTTAAGCAATAGAAAAAAAAAAAGGAAAGTATAATATTTCATGACCTGTAAAAATGGTATGAAATTCACATTCAAGTGTTCATAGATAAAATTCTGTTGCAACACAGCGGCGCCCATTTATTTCACTACAGCAGAGTTTAGAAATTGCAACACAGACCAGACGGCCCACAAAAGCGCAAATATGTACTGTTTGTCCCTTTGCTGACAATGTATGACCCCTGCCTGCACAGTCACGTGTAGTTGTTGCCCAGGACTCCAGCACGTGACTGCACAGGTGGAAACTCTTAGCTGTGCCGCCCATGCCTCACTTGCTGAGAAGCTCCATCCACACCTCAGGACAGACACACGCTGTTTTCCTTTAGGGCTCCTGTTTCACTCACATTCCATACTTCCTGAAGTTCTTTGATGTGAATCACCTTATCTGGGCCTCCTGCAGTTCTGCATGTGTTTTGTGTGTGGGGGACACAGTAGCCTCCTATGTTCTTCCCATGCATTAGCTCGTAAGGTTGGTGCGATCATTATGCCCACCTAAGGGTGGAGAAACCGAGGCACAAGAACTCAAGTGGTTTTCTGAGGCCAGATGGCCACTGTGTGCAGGAACTGGGCTTGGAAACCAGACAGTGGGATTGGGGCTCCATGCTCTTACACCCCCCTCCACACTACCTGCTTTCTTGAGACATCCAGCTTTGAGGCCATTAAGCTCATTTTAACAGAGCTAAGGTAACACACAGAGGGAGTGTGTGCTTACCACTCATGTCACAGTTCAGATTAGGCACAGAGGCAGCACTCTGTGGGCCCCAGAACCCACACGTCTGGTCTAGAGTACTTTCTGCTCCCCCTGCTGCCTCAGAAACTGGGCTGGGGACAGAACACCTCTTTCTACCTTGATGGAGGGAAGGGACATTGCTCTTGATCTCTTATTGCCTGTGATCTTTGCAGAAAGTTGCTGTCACTGCTGGGTGTAAAACCACCACCTCGGCTGTCATGGTTCACTGCCTGCGCCAGAAGACAGAGGAGGAGCTCTTGGAGGCCACGTTGAAAATGGTACGTGGGTCCGTTCTAGGCCCCCAGCCTGTAGTCATGGCCCCAGGCTTCATCTTTTCAGTTGTCCTTTCGCCCTGAAAAAACTCCCTGGGACAATTTTTTACCTCTCAGGAGCATCTGGGTCTGAATAGAGAATTTCCCTTTTCCTTTTTTATTGTAGCATATCTTAGATATCAGAAGTCCAAAAATAACATGGTGAAAAATTACGTAATAATCCCACAGTTTTATCAAAACCTAAATTTTTTCATTCTTGTTTTCAGATGTGTTTTAAGAAATTAAACATTACATATTCCCAGGGGTAGCCACCATCCTGAATTTGGGCAATGGGGATATTAATCACAGAAATTTCTGAATGATATCACAATTTATCTTGGTTGATTTAGAAACTATGTCAATTATAACCCAATGGTACCCCAATTTATAGATTTTCTGAAACTCTGCCTCAATTGTCAATGTAGTATAGCCATTCATCTACTCATGCATTCATCTACCATCTTATGATCCACCTACTCATGCACTAATCCATCTGATTCATTGCCACCCTATAACCAAGCTAATATCAGTCCATCCATGAGTCTTCATTATGTATTTCAACTCATCCATCATCAGTGCATCATCCAGTCACCTTATATCTTCACTTCATCATCCATTCCTCCATAATCAATGATCTATCCATAACCTACCTGCTACTTATCATCCATCTTTCCATGTATCCATCCAGTTTACCCAAACTGCATGCATTGACCAACTCCATCCATCCATCCATCTATCCATTCATGCTAGGAGTCTGGGGTGGGTGGGGAGAGTGTCAGGGCAAGTGATACAGATATAGTTGGACATAGTCCTTGCTCACAAGAAGCTACCCAAGGAGAAACACACCCATATACCTAGTAGGTTGAATATGGTGGAGTAAAGGGAGGGGAAATATTCCTTATAGTCATCAGACATGCTTCACAGAGAATGTGACATGTGAGGATTGATGGATGGCTGTGGCATTCGTCTGTCATTATAGGGAAGTTCAGCAGGACAAATGCCCAAGGAATACAGCATGTAGGGTCAATGGGAGCCATTCCTTTGGTGGGAGAAGAGTGTGAGTTGTGAGGGCAGCAGTAGCCTGAGTCTCGGACCCCTTATCTGGACCCTGCACACCTGTGGATACTTCTGGAACCCTAGGGCAGGCCTCTAGCTCTGGACTCTACTTCCATGTCCATATGTTGAATCCATCTGGCTTTAGGATTTGAGTGTTGGTTTATCATACTCTGATGAGGTGGCCAAGTGTTCAAAGAATTAAAACACAACTGTATTATAATTACTGAATAGACCCAAATATTTCAGCAGTTCTCCATGTGGCACAAGAGGACCCAGCTTATAAAGAAAGATTTGAGGCCTTTGGGAAAACCCAGATCTAAGCTATCAGGACATTCTTCAGAGATCTCTGAGATCTTGTGGAAATGCTTCTGTGATTCTCCACTGACTCCAGTAAACTCACTCACACACACACACACACACACACGCACGCACACACACACACACACACATATATCTGGTTGGTGGGCTACAGTCCATAATGGAGGAGCCCTCACTCATCACTTCCTGCATAGAGGTCAGACCTGGTAACTATACTGCAACATTGCAATCACTGCAATTTTGGTGAAAACCAAAGAGAAGCATGGGGTAGAATGAGTCTCAGGGAGGTTTTGAGTCAGGAATTTCTAATGTAAGAAGAGAAAACTCAAGTTGCAATGAGCAGAAAAAGAAATCTTTGTAAAAAACAATTCAGGTAATGGAAAAGTCCAGCACTAGATGGCTTCAGGCATGGCTGGATCCAGATATTCATCAGGATAATTATTGGAATCTACCTGTCTCTATCCTTTCATTTTGCACACACCTGTTTGCTTCACCTTCCGCAGATTTGGCCCCTGAGTTAAAGATAGCACACTCAACTGGTATATACCAACCTGCTAGAACCCTCTTTCTCAAAAATTCTAGCAAAAGTATTTGGGTACACTCTGTGACGGACCATTGGTAAGTGCCCATCCCGTATACATCGGTTTAGGAGACGAACTCCCTGTCATATAATACCTGAATTATGAGTGATGGGGGAAGAGGATCCCCCAAAAGGAATGACAAAAGGGAAATGGTGGTGCATGCAGGCCCAACAACAGATGGCCCTCTCCAACTCCAGCCACCCCTGGCCAGGCCCAGGGCCCTGTCCCTTCCTTCTGGCCCATCCCCCCCCCCACTGACACTTAAACCCTGTGCTCATGCCTTGGACCCTTGTCCTGCCCAACTTCCTCTCCCCCCTGGCCAGGTGGCACCAGGAGGGGGGGAGAACCGACACCTCTGCTGCAGCCACGAGATCAGCTTCTCCCGAACTCTCCCACAAATCTCGCCCTTTTCTCACAGAACTTTTTTGATCATTTAGTTGGAACCCCAGAGA